CGGTAAACAAGCGTGGTTTTCTTGGGTCAGGACGAAGACCCGAACAAGGCCGCGAAGGACTTCTGAGTGCTGCCAGATTCAACGGTTTACGATGGTTCTTTGACGAAATCACCCAACTGACGACAGAGGATCGAACGTAGTGAAAGAGGTTGTTGGAACACAAGCAGGATATTGACGACAAGAAGCGTAATTCCCGCGCCGTTCTCTCGACCGAAAACCCGATTTCGTAGCCTACATGGGTTGTCTGTCGTCCACTTCGATCTGGTCACCTACGAAGAATGCGTTCATCATCATTCAGCTGCTTCAACCTGATCCTTTTTGATCATGTTCTTGCCTTTTTAATTTAGGCTCTTCTTGAGACTCTCGATAATCTTCGTGATTCAGCTGAAACCTACAAAACCATGTAGAGAATGTCTAAAGACGATGATGAAAATAACCGAATGGAGACGAAAAATTAAACCTCAGTAATCCTTCTTGTATCCATGCACCCAACCTGAAATCTGATAGCTCTCGGGGTTCCTACTGAGATTACTTGAATTTTTTCACATTTTTGTGCCTCTTTTCGCTGTAAACATTCGGATTCAAATGAGATTCCGACATAGCTCGTGGTCAGTGCAGGGGATACATCTGCCCTGCTTACGTGCACTGGGGATCTACATTGAGAATGAGGGCTCTGCTTACTTTGTAATCATTTCAGATGTGGCTTATTCTGTTGCAAGCCATAAGATATACGCAGTCCGCTCCAGTTCTATCACCACTTCTTGAGGGAAATGACGGTTATCTTATTAAGGAATACATTAACGCCATCACTGCCTATGGTCCAGGACTGGGAGTTTACAGTGAGTCATCTACTGTTCTTTCAGAGAAGCGATCTACTTCAATTAACCCACTCCTGGTTAAAGTCATGCCCACGCTCGTTGCATGAAATGAACCTGGTCGCTATTAAGGGCATTGTTCGGCTGATAGAAGGGGAGGGGGGACATTTGTAATTTTGCTAGTTCCTTTTGCTAATTCATGTTATTTAACAGGTGTCACTTCGGTCAGACCTTCAAACTCTATAATGATGTGATATGTTACAACCTTTCACAAGAATTTACAGGTCTCACAAGGTGACCTGTCAGGGCACATCGTTGTTGGGGAATCCCCAATAGGGGGGGGGGTGTATTTGGCTACCAGGAGACCGCCAAGCAGAAGGGGGAGTCGTATTTGAGCTGGAAAAGAATATATTCTGATAACTGATTTTCTGCGCTTCACGGACTTGTAAAGGGGGGGGGTAAGCGCGCGTACTTGCTCATGTGTTGGGGTAGGGGGGGGTTGTACCAAGCTACCCAACTCCCCAAAAAAAGGGGGGGGGGGGGGTCGTACGAACCCGACCAAAATCCCAACCAGTGATTGCCCTGTGACCTGTAAGTTTTGCTGAGTACCATTTAATACCCCTCTAAGCCAAACTGCGCCCTAATGTCGTTTCAGAATTCGATTAACCTGGTCAATTCATAGATGCCAAGGAGCCGTCAGTTGAGTTGTCGAATGTTCAGGGAATGTTTTGAAATGAATTCAATCGACAAATGACGTCACTGTGGGTGTGGCAAGCGACTCCATTCCATATGATCAATAGAAAATGACCTTCGGGTGCTTATCACTAATCGAAAAGTTGGAATTTTCATTTTTCCCGGCTGACCTCCAGGCCAGGGCATGTCCTGTCCTGGCCTGAAGGTCAATAATGGAAAAAGGAATAGTACTCCCTCTTGGGAGAGAAACCTGTTAGCACACAGGTGTCGCCAAGCGCGGAAGCCCCCCCGCCTCCATCTCCGTACATAATCCCCCTCTGGAACGACCGCCATCTCTCCTATTCAACCATTCCTAACCGGTCGCAGTTATCGATACTGAAACCTACCATCACCTACCTACCATCTCCGCAAGCTCTTAGTTTTCCCAAAAAAATGCAAGTCGAGTGGGTGGTATACAGCGCATGTGCAATGGGAAAAACCGAGAAAATCAACAGCCAAAAAGATAATCCCAGGGTCGAGATAGACCCCATCGCACCAGCGACCAAATACACCGCTCGTGGGGGCCGTTCCAAGTAGCGACCTGTCTTACAAATCCTCACCAGACAGTTGTACACATGCGAATAACCAACCATCAAGAAAAAAAAAACCACTCTGCACCGGATTTGATCCCCACAGACTGAGCGTGTGGGAACTGGCACCTCTAGCTATCGCGTTACCTGCACTCAACTGTAACGCTTTGAAGTTCATAGCTATTATAAGCACCTCCAAGATCATCAATTTCAGCGCCATATTCCTACGTCGACCTTTCATATGACAACATTCCATTCGTTGGAAAGATTCCTGTTCTTGGAAAGGAAGGTACTTCCTCCAAACTGGGAATCTCTCCCTTCTACCCGCCACAAGGAAACCCCAGCAACCCTTTCCCACCCCTGTACAGGTATGTTTTACGCATTTGTGGGCTAAGTAGTCCCAGAACCTATACACTTTTAGGGCTCGACCACTTCCACTACATGTACCTGAACCACAGGATGTGTAGCCGTACCACTTGACGAAGAGGCGCTACATGGAGAACCACTCTTCCCACCAGGTGCCACTATACTGTAATCACCTAAATTAGTAATTTCGTCCAGCCCAAGTTAATGAATTTCCGGAGTGGCGGTGTATCGTCATTAGAGGTTACGACCCTTTATAGTAAGGAGAAGTTATCCCTCATACATCGGTTGTTAATTATTCACTTTTTCCTCTCTGGGATGTCTAAGAGTTTTGCCAATGGGGCCGACCATTTTCCGGCACGCCCCGCCCACCATGGGCGGGGTTCAGCTTGGTTCACGTGTGCTCTGAACATCTTGTCCTATGCCTTACACATCTCATCATTGACGCGACCTCTCCGAGCGAATCCCCAGACAGACAGACAAACAGACAAGCAAACAAAAAACCAACCAACCAACCAAGCAAACAAAGAAATGAGCAAACAACCAGACTGAATAGAATTTATAGAGTAGAGTCTATGCATCTCTATACAACCTCTCCTCACTTTATGGCAGTAAATGATTACCTCTCCTCACTTTATGGCAGTAAATGATTATATGGTTCCTCGCCTAAAAAAATTCGAATTTCAGAGCTAGTCTTACCGTGGGAGAAAAAAGAAAAAGGTGAAGATAATACGGTCGAGAAGCCGACTGATCCATTTGGAATCACATCAGAGCTGGTTGAAAAGGTAATCGATGCATTTTTATGTACTCAAAGAAAGGAGAAAGGAGAGACACTAATTGTAAGAGCGTGGGAGAGAGATCAGCGGCGAAGTCTAAGAGAACGGAAAGATGAGCGAGACGGCGGACACAATTGCATTTACCGGTGGTGTTCATCTCTTGGTAGGATCATACCAATGGGCGGGGTGATTGGGGCTAGTGGCGGCATTAGCGCCATTGCCGCTCACTTTCGACACTTTCTCATAGGTAAATCTTATCAAGGTGGGAAAATGCATTTCTCATTCAGAATGGACTAGTTTCATGGCCTAATGAGAAACTGGATTCGTCAACAGGAGAACTAGAAGAAACCAAGGCAGGCAAGTAGTTCATATTCCTTCAAAAAATGCTATGGTCCATTGATGATTATCCTAAGCTTCCTACTGAAAAGAATTTTATTCCACTATTTTCCATTTCTTTTTTTCATTGGCGGAGGTGGTGTAGTGACAAGTGGCGCGCTTACCATTCGCGCGGTCCGGGTTCGAATCCCGGGTCGACTCCCGCCCAGGCCAACCAAGCCTTCTACCCTCCGGGGACGGTAAATTGGTACCAGATTCGTCTGGGAGGATAAAACTGACTTGTACATCGGCTGGCCCCCGCAAGTCATTGTATAGGCCACATCGCATTCAATAAGCCACTACGATTCTGAATGGAAGTAGAATGCGTGCCGCATCCCACAAAGGGATTGATTAACGGCGAAGACTTTATCCTTTTCATTTATGTTATTGATTGTCGTAATATAGTCACTATTATTATTTGGGCATTAATTATGTGAGTATTAAACACTAATTAATTGAGCTCTTTTAATATTATTTTTTACAGATTCTACTATATAGTTCTGTTTGAAAACCCACATACATGTCCATACAGCCACCCTCCCATTGATCCTATTTCTACAGTCCTGTTCGCTGCGGATGCTGGAGCATGTCAGGGCGGCTGAGTTTGGCGGCCGACTGGTAAGCGAACCTCATAATTAGTGGAGTTGCGCCGTGCTACCCACCCCTGACACACCCAGCATCTGCAGTGATGGCGCGTTGAGCGCCAACAAACTGGCGTGAAGTATCGTGGCCCATGAAGTGGGTTTAGTATGCGCAAGAATCCGTTTCTGGCGGTTGGAAAGAAAAGAGAAAGCATCAGAATGCTCTTAAAGCCAACTGTCTTCTGTCTTTGTAGTTTTGGGTATTCAGTCGAGCAAAAAAAAGAAGCAAAAAAAAGAAGCGATGAAGGACAGGCACTGAAAGGACGAGGGAACAGACTCGAAGAATAAGAGACTGGGAAGATGAGCATTCTTACTAGGCAGAGGCAATTAGGAGGACGAACATGGGCATCTCTTCATCCTTTAGCGGCAGCTCCGACTTTCCTCTCTTGTGAACACTTCTCTGCCTCTCTTTTCTGTCCCACACCGTTCCCGCAGCAGCCCCTCTGTTGCCTTCAGAACAGCTCTCTTTCGGATCCCACCATAGGCGTAAAATCAGAAAGCAGCACTGATAGAGACGCACGGCGGTGTAGAACGCAAATATGAACCCATTCGTGCTCGAAGAAATAGACGAGTTTTGTCGTAGAAAGGATCGTTGTAGCATTGAACATGGTCTACACCAGCTGGGCAGTCGTCCGAGGGGTGGCATTTTCTACAAGTGCTCAATTTCTACCTAAACCGAGCACTATTGGTACAAAAAGCAGCATGATGGTCTCATTCCACAGCTCTTGATATCATCTGATTGGGCGATCGCAGGACATCACCCAGATAAGTAGTCCGTCCGCTATAGAGGTTATCACTCCTGCGGAGCTTAGTAGTAAGAGTGGAGGGAGCTACGTCCTCAGGGTACAGCATCGTGATGTGCGAAATGTTGGTGTCAGTACGACCAGCCCCCCCCCCCTGAGTGAGGGTCTCGATTAGTGGTACGACATCTGTTATTCCCGCAACACCTACCTTAAGCATTTTCCTACATAGTTTTCCTCATTCTTTCGAAATATCGCCACATTTCCCGTTCCTATCATCAAAATATTTACAGTCGAGGCGGGTTGGGAGGGGTGGGGAGTGAGGGGGGCGTGGGGGGGGGTGGGGGGGGGTATATTAGCCACCATGAAAGGGATAACGCGAAAACTAACTAATGGAAAATCTTCAACGAGGCGAATTTCTCTCAAAGGCACATATGACCCCTCTCTTCCAACAACGACCAAATGCAAGCCTCCCCCACCCATGTGTTCCACATACTGAGGATTGTACCTGTGCGCTACCGCGTTCAAGTGGGTGGTTGTGGGGCTCATATTACCCCTGGACAAGATGGCAAATATACAAAAGTTGAAGAAAACAAAGAAAGCAACCCTTACGAATGTTCATGGTGGTGTCAAAGTGTCAATCACCAAATGTGTCTTCAGGATAAAGGGAAGACGTAACGGTCCGAATAGACAAAGTAGCAGAGAAAAATATCAAAGAAGAGGAGCTGGCTGCAATGAAACCTTCACGAGAAGGAACGCCTAAGAATCCTTTCCGATCCAAAAGGGTCTGAGACTACTAAACTTATGGCAGTAAGAAAGGTCTCAACTCACTTTTCTGCATCAATATAAAAATCTGCAGTCTGCAATTATAGAAGATTCTGTATGGTCATTTCAGAGATTTTAGTAGAAATGGTTAAGGAGTACAAGAAAAGGTATTATATGTAATATAGAACCGCAGGTAATATGAATCATTAAAATCAAATTTGAGTAATCAAAGAACATGAAGGCAGTTGATTACGCATTCTTTTAAGACAAAGACAACAAATAGTTTAACTTTTTCAATTTCTTCAAAGTGAAATTACCGACAACAGACACAACAGCGGACAAGTCTTTTAATACCTACTTTTCCGAAGTATACAAAAAAATATTTCACCTAGACATTACAGCTTCATAAATATAAGATCAGGAGCATCAACACGTGAATAAATATTTACATCAACAACGAACTAGCACTCGCAACCACAAATAACCACAAGAATACATGACTGTAGGCGCGAGCATCCCAAACGCGCTCAAGTACTGGGGAGGAGACAGGGCACTTCACAGCGACTGCTTCCTTCTCGAGAACAAGTCCAAGGCTTAAAGCACAGGCAGTCAGAGTCATCGCGGGCTACTCTCGCAGAGGCAGAAGTGCGCCGAACCCGACTATCTCTGTGGTGAGCCTGAGCTTTGGTTGGGAAGGACCAGAGACGCTGTGGATCCCCTTTACTAACAAAAATAACACATTAGGGCCAGGTAATCAATGATGAAAAACTTCTAATAGATGCTGTACTTGCATAAGTGATTTGATTACGAATCTCCGTTACAGTACTTAAAGGGAAAGTCCATGCCTATTGTATGGGTGGGGCAACACCTACCATTCTTATTGGTCCTCATCGTCTCAAAAACTTTAGAGGGCACACGAATGAGAAAGATGCTGGGTAGGCCCGACCCCACGCAAGCGACCAGGCTAATCTCTCTACTTAGGGAAAAATACACGTAAGGGCATTGATGTCTATTTCATGTAAGTCCCACCACATGGACCGATTCTTCAGAAATCTACCGCATTTTAAGGCAGTAAGAATGAAAAGCGCTCTTTGCGGTGTAACCATGACGCAACGTATTAGTATGTTTAGAAAAAAAAAATCTCTAAGCGGGATTGGTCAAGCGGGGATCGGTAGGAAGTTGGGAAAAGTTGTGAAGATGGTAGGTGGAATAGGGAAGGGGCTGGGTCGAGTTCCGGCCAGGATCAAGTCTTTGCCCATAACTCAGTATTCCTTTGATTACTATTTTCTTTTTACGGAGGTCATTCTAAACAGAGGTCAGACTTTCGAAAACTGCAAAAGGAATCCGCGGTAGAAGTTGAGCACTGGAGCTCGCGACAAACAGATAGGGACATGACAAGAGTGGGAGTTGCAAATGCAGACATAACAACAAGAACAAGAACAAACAAGCATAAGATCTCCTAATACCGTGCTCCTTTCCGGAACCAAAACCGTGCACGGAAGTCATCGCTGCCTGTCAAAAAGGCAGGAACTGTTGGCGAATGGACGAAGACGCGAGTAGCAGCAGTATGACCTATAAGAACAACCATGGAATTAAAGAACTTATCGGAATAAAAAAAACACTTGCCTAAAGCCAGCAGCCTTTTCCTGTCAGAATTGCGAGCATCCCAGGAGCACAGACTTCCAGACTTCTCGTCAGGAAATAGTACTGAAACTTATAGAATTACAATCTCACAACTCCAGACGTTTCAATCACGCAGTACTGCCTTAGACGAGGACCAACGGCTTAAGAGAAGCTTCTCATAAGGGCTCCATCATTACCCCGGTCTACCTCAACAGCTACTGGTTTACAGTACAGCTATGAAACTCAAGCTACAGGACCACATTTGCTGAAGCAACTACCTCCTATATAAGGGTAATGGTACCTTCCCCTTCTACCCTCCGCTTCAGATTATGCTTTCATTAATTCAACTTCACAATTTTCGCGGAATTAATTTGTAACCACACATGAAAAAAAACAAGAAATCCCTGAAAAACATACCGTAGTCCTCGTTATGATTGAATGTGGCCTTTACGGGGAACTCTTGTCTGCCAGTAGCTCCTGCACCAGGTATTATGGTTATCTGCGATCCGCTGTCTATCAATCCACTTTCTTTTGACCCCAAGCAGGTTAGCGTGACCATATATTTGCTCCCTACCTCTACGCACTTTCCTGCTTGTGACTGTATTGTCTTGCAGCACCACGTGTCCAGCGTCGCGCTGAATGACACTGCCTGTCGGTCGCTTTTCTTGCTCCAGCACTCTTGCGCTTCATGGCCTCTTTTACCGCAATTCGTACAGGTGACGTCCTTCTGAGTCCTTTGTGGTGCGCGTCCGTTGAGTTTCTTGCCGTCTTGCTTGTCCGGTGTTGAGGCGGCCTTGTTGCTCCCGTTCATGCCTTGGGGTGGGCCCTTTGCCCTGAAGTCCCAGTGGCGCGCCTTAGGCCTGAGCGAGCGAACGTTTCATTCCCTTAGGCGCTCGATTCTCAACGCGGTTTCCCTCATTTTCTCGTAGACCTCCCCACAAGTTTCCGTCTCTAGTATCTCAAGAAGCTGTATTGCTTCTGTCCAATGGCTCAGTTGCTCTTGCAGAATCTCGGCCCGCATGAGCGATAAGGTGTGATCATCAGCATTTGGGTACGCTTTACACGATAACGTTTCCAACTCTAGGCAAAACTGTAGTACTGACTGATCTCCTTTTTTCCGTAATGTTCGGAGTTTTCTCATAGCTTTGGCTTGCTCTTCTGGCCCGTCTACTTTCAGCCTTCTCTTCATTCCTTCTATTAATGCTTGTAACGACCCATTTC